AATGTAATCATTTCTCTTGGTTTTCAGAAACTAAATCATTCAGCTAAAGCTGTTTGTATTATCCTTCATGTGTGATCAAATTTGTACCTGAAAATGACTTTCCAACTTTCGGTAAAGTTAAACAATCTAATGAATTGAAAAATATTCAAGTGCATTACTAGTTTGTCGTCGAACTCTCTGTAATGAACAGTTTTCTCCGAGCTCATTCTTGAAACATGAAAGTTCTTGCAGAAAAGGTTTAATCAAAGACGATTATGAGTTTCATCTTCATGAACAATTCAAACAGGTGAAGAAATTAAACTTTTCTCAATCAACCACCATCATTATCATCACAATTACCATCTCATCTTAAGATTGAAATGTTGAAAATAAAAACAACAACAAAATGATTGTCATCTTAAGACTCATGAAAAGATTTGAAGATAAATTTCGTGGATATGCTTATGCATTAATAAATCGTGATGAGAATCCCGATGATCCACTTATGGCTCTGAATATGATCAGAAACTTTTGTCCCAATTTGAATAATAACTATTGGACTTCGTATCAACGAGCCATCGATCCACATGCTCCAATATATGAAGGAGAAAATGGATGATATTGGCTTGATCCAGTTATTGGTCAGAAAAGTAAACCTGAAACTTACATTCGACCTTCAACAATCAAATGGATTGATTATACTCGGAAAAATCCAGTTCCAGACTATCTCATTCGAGCTTCAACTGAATGGCTGGAATATGCGAATGGACTGAAACCACCGAATCCAAACAATCAAAAGTTCCCAAGAACTTTTCATCAAGATGATCTTCCATTTGTTAGAATCGATGTGTTTGCTTTGATTTCCGAAGCTAAAGCTAATGAAATAATCTCTTCAATCAAACAAAACTTTCCTTCTATTCGTGGTGTTATTAGACCGAATAACAGTGACAATTCTAGTGCTCTCATTCCAGCTCGTCAAAGACGATTGAGTTCATCATCAACCTCATCTTCATCATCATCATCATCATTTAAAATGAGATCATATGCAATGAAGCAAAATGAATCAATGAAAACTTATAACAGAATCACTAGAATTCAATTACCAGCGTTACCAATGATTTACGAACAGAAAATCAAGAGTAATATCAAACATCATCCGAATCCATCGTTAGTGTTTTCCATTAATATGGCATATGTTGGTATCTTTGAAGAGTATGAAAGGCCTGAAGGCTTATTCGAGAAGATCCGTCAACGTCCAGTTTGGATCGTAATTGTCAATGGAAGGCAAGAAATTATCTATGAAACTTTAGTTACATATCCAAATGTAGAATCAATGGAAACTCATCATCATGGTTTAAACCGAAATGATATTCGCTACGCTAAGAACTTACAATCAGTTCGAGACCAAATTGTTCCTTATTTAGTTGTAGCTGAAAAGTTAATTGGTTCCAATTTGATAATGCAACTAACTACAGGGCTTTCTAAGAATGAAATCAATTTACTCCGTCCTAAGATGAAATAACTCAATATTTCTCCTTATAAAGGTAAAGCTTGTGCGCTAAGCTTAATCGCCTTTTTGATCTTCGACCGTTTCACCATTGAGTCTGGTTCTCATTCACCAGCGGTGGAAGCTTATGTTTCCTGTCAACTTTATATGGCCTTTTGGCAAGAAATTGAAACTTTCTGTGAACGTATAAATGATGGAATTCATAATGCTAATGCAGATCTTACCTGTGGAAATCATAAGATGTCAAAGTTATTGAAAATCTTTTCCAAACGGGTTGAACAAAATCAAGCGCAATGGCCAAAAAATTGGCATTATTATGGTAATGAATATTATTCCAGGACAAGAAAACAACCAATATATGATCGTTGTGTATCTCTGAATTGAACGATTCATATCCAGTTCCAAATGGACTTTGAGATAAAAGTTGTTTCTGATGATGATATCGAAGCCATGGGCACAATTACAATTAGTCCGTTTTAATGAGCCTCAATCAGCTGGATCAAGGAGATATCTTAATCAAGTTCCTGGGCACTGAAGGGAATCAAACTTAAGTTTGATTGTTGATCCTTGATCATCTTAATTTAGTCTCTTCAATATTCAATTATCAACTTTTCTCTTTAATTAACTTTAGTTAATCAAAATTTTCTTTCACAATTTAATTATATTTGACTTTAACTTCAATTACAATTAATATTAATCCAGTTATAGAGTTAACTTTATGTTGATTAACTGATTAATTGTTCAATTGTCACTTTTTATTAATAATTTTGTACTTATTTATCAACAGTCTCAATGTCCAGACAAAGACCAAATGGTTAACCATATATGGTATTGTCTAATTACTTGTTTACTCTTATGAGCAATAATGGTTAAAGCTAAAGCTTTTGTCTAATGACGAAAGGTTAAAGTAACTTTGGTTTTCTTTTGTTGCTAAGCTTAAAATTTTCTCTTTCTTTTTACTGTCTAAATTTTGTATTCCCTTGATGTATAAACATCATCATCTTATTATGTTAATCTTAAGATTATCTTCATCTTCATCTTTATCTCCAATAACAAGAGTTAGAAAGAGAGAAAAGGAAAGAAATGGATTCTCTTTAATTGTATCCCCAAGTTACTTTCCAATATATATTAACCATTAACTGAATTCAGTTGAGTTGAGTTTTGGACTTCTCTTAATATTGTTCATCTTATTAAGATTTTCTAAATTCTAATTACCACTCAATTCTAATGAATTTAAGTTCTTTTCAATGATTAAAGTTAATTACACAACAATTAGTTAATTTTAAGTATCTTATTCTTTGTGAGTCCTGAATACGAATCTACATTTTGTAATCTGTTACATGTAAGGACAGATTGGAATCTCTTGTGAGAACTTGATTAATCATTTCAATTGAATTCGTTTTATTGTTTTACTTAATTATTAAGTATCCTAAGTAATTTGATTAGTTGGTAACATAAATTTACCAATAACTTTTTATATCAATTACTATCAATCAGTTAGTTGCTGATCTTTTAATATAACAACCTTCATCTCAATTTCAATCTTGAAATTCATCATTTCTCGGACTTTAAAGTCTTGGTTAATGACTTTAGTCTTAACCATTAATTACTTTTTGCTTATTCAACACTTACAATTGAAAAATATCAATAAACTGTTAATTGTGCGTAAATTAGGTATTGCGATTTGTTGGTTATTTATAGCTGGAAGTCCTCCAAGTCCTCAAGTAATGAGGTTTACATTTGATATACCAAACTTCATTCAAAACAGCACTAAAACAAACAATATCAATGTTAATTTTAATGAATTGATTGACGATTCCATGTTAAACTGTGAAATTAACAAAGTAAAAGGATTAAGCTAAAGATTGAAAATCAATTGATTAAATAAGATTTATTGTGAATGATCCACCACAACTTGATGTCTATTGGATTTTTTTTTTTAATCATACAAGATGATTAACTTTTTATTCTGCAATTTAATTAGAAACATGAACAAGAATAGATTCAATTATTTAATCCTTCCAGCAAGCGTTTGGAGCCATACTCTTGATGATGTCTTTGTAGTAAAGGGTTCAGTGTAAAGACCAGCGGTATCGGTACTTTCACCATTCAGTCCATGAACCAGAAACGACACCCATGAGTGTAAACCATTAGAAGCCTTCTTCATTAGTGGTCCACCAGAGTCACCTGAACAAGCGTCTCCCATGGTTTGTTGGTTGATGGCGCAAATGTGAGTCTCAGGCACTTCAGGGATTTGGACTCGTCCCTTCATTGATAGAGGAATACCATTTTGTTTAAACAAGTAGTTGGTCTTAATGTCGTTACATTGGTCTCCTAATTGTGTAAAGATAAATGTGTAAAATTTCATTCAATGAAAATTATTAACTAACTAGCTTACGGGTCAAGAATGAAACATCGACTTCTAAGAGTATCACTTGAGTCAGAGTTAGCGGAAGTGGTTCCCATCCGGAGACGGTGAGTTTGGATAAACCAGATTCGCTCTTTGGTAAACAGACTGGAGAAATTTGTTGAGTGAATTTAACAGGCTTTGAGAGGGTCAAGATGGCGAAATCGTTGGAAAGATCCTTTCGACTGTAGTTAGGATCAACCCAGATTTCTGAGACTGAGCTGGCTTAAGAGTATTCAGAGAAAGCCTTGACTTTTCCAAGGAAAACATCGATATTGGAGACATCGAAAGTTGAACCATCATCGTCGACAACACAGTGAGCAGCGGTGGCGATGTGTTGTTCATCGATCAAAGAACCACCACATTGAGCGAATGATCCAGCGTTTCGGCTGACGTACGATCTAAAAGAGTATGATTGAGATACGATTAGCGAAAAGAGAAAAGAATCTCATAAACAAAACTCACCGAATGTGAGCTAACCATGGATATTTGTGGGCTCGAACTTTACTTCCTTTGTAGATTCGACCAGCTGAACCTTCCCACCTCTGTCCATGAAAGAAAGAAAGAGTAAAATTACTTTTAGATAATTTCGATGATATCGAACAATGTTCACTTACCGCAAGCGAGGAGAAGTTAACAGCGGCGACGAGGAAAACACAGGCTAAGAAAGACTCTCATGATTACGATAGAATTGAATTAACCAGAAGAAATAAACTTATTCTAATTAATGAATGATTCTTATTACGCTAATGATCAGCGTTTTATACTCGATATTTTTTGCAGCCACGTCCGTCAAATATGTTCATCTAAATTTGATTGACAATTAGCATCAATCGCTCTGACTATTTGTTTTTATTTTTACAATAACTGTTCAAATCATTCTCTAATAGAAAATACGATTACGTGTAGTCATTGAAGATCAATCTCAAGCCTTCCCATTTTCTTCAATGATAATTATATTGATAATCAAATCATTTATGACTAGATCACAATTAACTTTCACCCATTTAGACAACTGTTCACATTGTCTTTTCATTCGTCCTTATATGACTTATAACCGCCATCTTGCTTTTAAACAATGAAATGATGATAATTATCATAAAAGTAATTTTACTTTTCTCTTTCTCTCTTCCTCTTTCATGGACAGAGTGTGGTATGGAAGGTTCAGCTGGTCGAATCTACAAAGGAAGTAAAGTTCGAGCCCACAAATATCCATGGTTAGCTCACATTCGGTAAGTTTTGTTTATGAGATTCTTTTCTCTTTTCGCTAATCGTATCTCAATCATACTCTTTTAGATCGTACGTCAGCCGAAACGCTGGATCATTCGCTCAATGTGGTGGTTCTTTGATCGATGAACAACACATCGCCACCGCTGCTCACTGTGTTGTCGACGATGATGGTTCAACTTTCGATGTCTCCAATATCGATGTTTTCCTTGGAAAAGTCAAGGCTTTCTCTGAATACTCTCAAGCCAGCTCAGTCTCAGAAATCTGGGTTGATCCTAACTACAGTCGAAAGGATCTTTCCAACGATTTCGCCATCTTGACCCTCTCAAAGCCTGTTAAATTCACTCAACAAATTTCTCCAGTCTGTTTACCAAAGAGCGAATCTGGTTTATCCAAACTCACCGTCTCCGGATGGGGAACCACTTCCGCTAACTCTGACTCAAGTGATACTCTCTTAGAAGTCGATGTTTCATTCTTGACCCGTAAGTCGCTAGTTAGTTAATAATTTTCATTGAATGAAATTTTACACATTTATCTTTACACAATTAGGAGACCAATGTAACGACATTAAGACCAACTACTTGTTTAAACAAAATGGTTTACCTTTATCAATGAAGGGACGAGTTCGAATCCCCGAAGTCGTTGAGACTCACATGTGCGCCATCAACCAACAAACCATGGGAGACGCTTGTTCAGGTGACTCTGGTGGACCACTAATGAAGAAGGCTTCTAATGGTTTACACTACCTGATGGGAGTCGTTTCTGGTTCATGGACTGAGTGTGGTGAAAGTACCGATACCGCTGGTCTTTACACTCGAACCCTTTACTACAAAGACATCATCAAGAGTATGGCTCCAAACGCTTGCTGGAAAGACTAAGAAATTAAATCTATTCTTGTTCATGTTTCTAATTAAATTGCAGAATAAAAAAGTTAATCATCTTGTATGATTAAAAAACAAAATTTTTTACCGAATGCGCCATTTATAACTAATGGATAATACATATTTTAACAAGTTAATTCTGTCTTTAGTCCCAATTTTAATAAAAACTTTTTATTGGTATAGTGGTCGAAAGGTTTATGCCTATGGAACACAATTTTCGAACATTTCAGTCTGAAAAACGCAACGTACCATCGACATTGATACAAGTTTAGTATCTGTAATAACGGATCGGATAATCACGGTTATAAAAAGAAATCGAGGATTAACTGATATTATAAGGTGATAATTAATAAAATAGTTAAATGTTTCTAAAGGACAAGATCAACTTCATAGGGATTTTGTTTCCTCATGAGCAGTTCTGGATTCTTAGATACCTCACAAATTATTGACTATTTCGTTTCAAATAAAGATCTCTATGACTTATATTTTTCACGTTAAAGGGGGTTTTAGACTGAAACTTTCTTCATTCTTTCAATGTGGTGGTGCTTTGATCGATGAACAACACATCGCCACTGCCGCTCATTGTGTTGTCGACGATGATGGTTCAACTTTCGCTGCTTCCAATGTTGATGTTTTCCTTGGAAAAGTCAAGGCTTTCTCTGAATACTCTCAAGCTAGCTCAGTCTCAGAAATTTGGGTTGACCCTAATTACAATCGAAACGATCTTTCCAACTATTTCGCCATCTTGATCCTTTCTAAGCCTGTATTAATGAAAATCAAGATTTGTTTTTGATTAATTGAAGTTTAATCAAATACTAATTAAATAATAATACTAATCAAATAGTAATTTATATCTTTTCAATCAATTATTTCGATTAAAAAAATACTAAACATAAATAATTGTGAACAATGACCATCAAAAGAATCTGATTATCATTATTTTTTAGATCAATTTGATGAGATTTAATCTTAATTAAAACTCAAACATTTTCCTACTTAAAACTTAATGTTGCAATAACGATGGATCATTTTGAAAGATATTACTGAATAACTTTTTTATTATGCGATTTAATTGGAAACATTATTAGGAATAGATTTGATTTTTCAATCCTTCCAGCAAGAATTTGGAGCCATGCTCATGATGACGTCTTTGTAGTAAAGGGTTCGAGTGTAAAGACCAGCGATATCGGCACCTTCACCACATTCAGCCCATGAACCAGAAACGACACCCATCAGGTAGTGTAAACCATTATCAGCTTTCTTCATTAGTGGTCCACCAGAGTCACCTGAACAAGCGTTTCCCATGGTTTGCTCGTTCATGGCACACATGTGAGACTCGGTGACACCGGGGACTGGGAATAGCCACTTCATCGATAGAGGAATACCATTCCGTTTGAATAAGAAATTTTTCTTAATATCGTTACATTGGTTACCTGAGAACAGATCAAGGAAATTATGAAAAAAAACTGTAAAACTAAAACTCTAAAAACTTACGGGTCAAGTATGAAACATCGACTTCTAAGAGAGTGTCACTTGCGCTAGAATGAGGACCAGTGGTTCCCCATCCGGAGACGGTGAGATTAGATAAACCAGCTTCGCTCTTTGGTAAACAGACTGGAGAAATTTGTTGAGTGAATTTAACAGGCTTGGAAAGGGTCAAGATGGCGAAATCGTTGGAAAGATCTTGTCGGTTGTAGTTAGGATCAACCCAAATTTCTGAGACTGAAATTGCCTTGGTATATTCAGAGAAAGCCTTGACTTTTCCAAGGAAAACATCAACATTTGCAACATTGAAAGGTGAACCATTTCGGCTGATAACACAGTGAGCAGCAGTGGCGATGTGTTGTTCATCGATTAAAGAACCACCACATTGAAAGAATGATGCAGATTTTCGGCTGGCGTACGATCTAAAAAGATGAAATTACTAATTGAGAAGATTAATAAAGAAAAGTAAAAATTGAAACTCGACTGTTGAGCAAACTCACCGAATGTGAGCTAACCAAGGGTATTTGTGGGCTCGAACTTTACTTCCTTTGTAGATTCGACCAGCTGAACCTTCCATACCACACTCTGTCCATGAAAGAAAAGAGTAAAATTACTTTCGAGATAATTTCGATGATTATCAAACAATGTTCACTTACCGCAAGCGAGTGAGAAGTTAACAGCGGCGACGAGGAAAACACAGGCTAAGAGAAAGACTCTCATGATTACGATAGAATTGAATTAACCAGAAGAAAGAAACTTATTCTAATTAATGAATGTTTCTGATTACGCTAATGATCAACGTTTTATACTCAATTCTATGCTTTGATGTGCAACAAGATGTTCATCTTCATTTGATTGACACTTTAATCAACTTCTATGAACTTCTAATTATTTCACCATCAATATAATAGTTGTTTCGTTAATCATTTCATTCCTTTGCTAACCGAGTCCAACACATGGAAAAATGAAATTTTCTTTCATATCAAATCATTTATGGCTTGACAACAACTTTAATCCATCTAGACAACTGTTAACATTGGCTTTTCATTTGTCCTTAAATTGACTTTTAATCAACATCTCGCTTTTAGACAATAAACTGGTGATTATTATCATTGATTAAGATGGAAAAGTCTGAAATTGATTCAAAAAATTCACTTAAACTCCATCTTCAGTTATCATCAACCATATCGTTAATTAACTGATTAGTAAATATAATAAGAAGAATCAAAATCAAGTAAAAACAAACGAGTGGAAAGGCCAAGAAAGTTTCAACCATAAAGAACATAATTTTTTTTTAATTGTTACAGTTTCTATCGCAATAATATCACCACACAATTGACAATTGGTCTTGCTGATTGTTGATTAATTTTGGCTCGGTTCCTTTTCCAATAGCTGTGATTATCATTAGTTAATCATGGGCTCGGGACAATCTTCACAATGTGGAATCTGTGAAAAAACTTTCATGGTGCTGTTAAAATAATGGTTAAACAAACTCAATTGGATATTTTAAATTGTTGTTTATAACAAATAATATTTTCATCATCATATCTTAATCATAAACCAGATCTTTGTTTCAAGATCATGGTTAAACATTAATGGCTCTTGGTTATTATTCTTGGTTTAGAACTGATAACTTTTTTTTAGAAAAAAAAAGTATCGTATACATAACGAGTCAGGCCAAAGTCAAATTGAGTCTCAAGCTGAGTTAACCTTTTACTGGACCTTACCCTGTTTTCAATGTCAAACACCCTTGGTGTTGAATAGTTTTTCCGATTTCACATCTCATCATCAAAAGAACCACTATCATCGTCTAAGAAAAGACACTATTAGAGCTCGGACTTGACCTCTATTAGGAACCATTTTAAAAAACGGCTGATTGTCAATTAATTTCAATTTAATACCAAAATGATGCTGCTGAATTTCCGCTAGAATGAACCTAATTTTGGTGCCACAGGTCAAGTCTGCATGTCACACTTTTGATTTGAAAAATTTAGTGGAAATTTTTTTTTAATCATACAAAATGATTAACTTTTTTATTATGCGATTTAATTAGAAACATGAACAAGAATAGATTTGATTTTTTAATCCTTCCAACAAGCGTTTGGAGCGAAACTCTTGATGGTTTCTTGGTAGTAAAGGGTTCGAGTGTAAAGACCAGCAGTGTCGGTACTTTCTCCGCATTTACTCCATGAACCAGAAACGACACCCATGAGGTAATGTAGACCATTATCAGCCTTCTTCATTAGTGGTCCACCCGAGTCACCAGTACAAGCGTCTCCCAAGGTTTGCTTGTTGATGGCGCACATATGAGAGTCAGCGACACCGGGGACTGGGAACATTCCCTTCATTGATAGAGGAATGCCACTTTTTTTGAACACATAATCGGTCATAATATCGTTACATTGGTCGTCTGAGAAGAGATTGAGATTAGAAAATTATGAAAAAAACTGCATTAAGGTCAAAGATTATTGACTGTCTTCTTACGGGTCAAGTATGAAACATCGACTTCTAAGAGAGTGTCACTTGAGCGAGAGTGAGGGCCAGTGGTTCCCCATCCGGCAACGGTGAGGTTGGATAAACCAGATTCGCTCTTTGGTAAACAGATTGGAGAAATTTGTTGAGTGAATTTAACAGGCTTGGAAAGGGTCAAGATGGCGAAATCATTGGCAAGATTGTTTCGATTGTAGTTAGAGTCAATCCACATTTCTGAAACTGAAATAGCCACAGTTTCGCCTGTGAAAGCCTGCACGCTGCCAAGGAAAACATCAATGCTGGAAAGATCGACTGTTGATCCATCATCGTCGACAACACAATGAGCGGCAGTGGCGATGTGTTGCTCATCGATCAAAGAACCACCACATTGAGCGAATAATCCAATGTCTCGGTTCATGTATGATCTAAAAAAAACAATTGAGATGGTTAGCGAAAAGAAAAAAGAATCTCATAAACAAAACTTACCGAATGTGAGCTAACCAAGGATATTTGTGGGCTCGAACTTTACTTCCTTTGTAGATTCGACCAGCTGAACCTTCCATACCACACTCTGTCCATGAAAGAGAACAGTAAAATTAGTTTCGAAGTAATTTAGTCGATTATCAAACAATATTCACTTACCGCAAGCGAGTGAGAAGTTAACAGCGGCGACGAGGAAAACACAGGCTAAGAGAAAGACTCTCATGATTACGATAGAATTGAATTAACCAGAAGAAAGAAACTTATTCTAATTGATGAATGATTCTTATTACGCTAATGATCAGCGTTTTATACTCGATAATTTTGCTGCCACGTTCGACAAAGATGCTCATCTTAATTTTATTGATGATTGACACTTCAATAAATTTTATGGAACTTCGATTTGTTTTATCATCAATTTAATAATTGTTCGTCGATTCGTTTAATTCGTGAGTCATTTTATCTCAGTGCTAACCGAGTTCAACTCATCAAAAAATGAAACTTGTTTTCATATCAAATCATTTATGATTTGATAACAATTAACTTTTACAAATTTAGACAACTGCTAACATTGTCTTTATTGATAGTTGTCTTTGTATTTGTCCTTTAATTGCCCTTTAATCACCATCTTGCTTTTAAACAATGAAATGATGGAGATTATCATTGATGAAGATGGAAAAGTTTGAAAAATATCACTGAAACTCCATCTTCAGTTATCATGAGGAAAACATTTATCGATCCAATGATGAACCCGAAAATCAACTCGAACCCAAACCTGCCAAGCTTAAGATTGAACCTAAACCCCACAGGGAAATTTCCAGTAATCATAACCACAGTTGCGTAGTTTGTATGATTTAAATCATGTTTAAATTACGATAAAACAGTGAATCAACTGTTCTTCCCTTGCAAATTGTAAAATAATCAACAATTAACTGATTAGTCAATATAATAAGAAGAATCAAAATCAAGTAAAAATCAGTCGAGTGGAAAGGCAAAGAAAGTTTCAACCATAAAGAACATAAAATTTTTTTAATTGTTACAGTTTCTATCGCAATAATATCACCACACAATTGACAATTGGTCTTGCTGATTGTTGATTAATTTTGGCTCGGTTCCTTTTCCAATTGCTGTGATTACCATTAGTTAATCATGGGCTCGGGACAATCGTCGCAATGTGGAATTTGTGAAAAAACTTTCATGGGAATTTTCAATGAGGATATAATCCTAATCTGTGAGAGGTGTGGTTGCGTTTATTGCTTAATCTGTGCTGGATTATCCAAATCTCAATATGAAACAATTCAATCATCCGAAGGGCAAATTAAATGGTACTGCCAGTTTTGTATGATTGAAATTAAACGCTCATACGATGTGGTACCTGGATAATTAGTACCATTGGAATACACATTTAACCAGTTTAATTGACAATTAACTTTGTCATTGATCATCATTCTCATCATCATCTTCATGTTCAATTTATCTTATAACCATTGAGGAGATTGGCAGAGGAATCAAAATATAAACTCTTCCAAATTAACTATTAATTACTTAAATTGAACTTTGTTATTTATACAATCAAATTTAATTGTTGATCAATGATAAACTTTAATTAATTGTAATCCAATGTTATATAAATGAGAGAGAGAGATATAAATTCAATGTTAATCTTAAATCAAATTGTAAGCCTCATTTTTAAGGCTAATCCAATGTAATTTATATTATAATAAGATTACAATTATTGTCATGATTAAATTGTAATCAGTTAATTGGCATCAGTTTATGGTGTTTAAGTAAATTGTAGTTTGATTGAACAAATTGTAACAATATCGTTTAATTTGATTATCTTTGGGCTTTTGTTTTCGCAATTAATATTTTGCTTTATTATTTAAATGTTGATAATTTTCATTAATTTGTTTAACCCTTTTGATTATTATGATTAACTCTGTAATTAGTAAAATGTAATTTAAATTAAATTGTATCGCATAAATTTGATTAACTGTTTGTTTTGTTTTCAAAGTGATTAATAATATATTGAATTTATTTAATCCTCTGATCAGTTAATTAGATTACAAAGTTTTACTGTTCATTTTTGTTAAGGTTTCTGATTTGTTGGTGGAAAGTTAATTTTCTTAATTATCATGAGCAAGGGCAAGATGATTAATAAATTAAAAAGGAAAGCGAGAAAGTAGAGAAGAGAGAGAGAGAGAGAGATTGAAACAATTAAGGATTAGCTGGAAAAATTTATGTATATAACAATCAAATTGTATTTACGTAAATACAATCTTGTTGTTGTCTTTTTTTTGATTGATTGTCTTTTTCCTTAAGTTAATTGTCAAAGTTAAGTGTTTCAATTTGGTGTTAGTTTGATGGTTACAGGTTATGACACTTGATTGTTGATAACTAATCTTGAGTTAATTGTTGATCTTTGCTTGATTTTCCGATGCTTTATTTTTGGTTTCCTGGTCCTTTAAGTTGGTTTAACTTCAGCTTTGTGAATTGATTGTTATACAAAACCACAAATTGTTAGTTGAAAGATAAATTGTCTTTTAAATCGAGTGTAAATAATCAACATTGGTCTTGGTTTTCAATAGAATTCAATCAAGAAAATCATCGAATGTTAATTAGAAAAGTTTAAATCAGCAATCCAAGAATATGTTCATTTGGAAACAATCTTAATGATTGGAAAAGGATTAATTTGACTTTAGGTGGGATCATCATCATTATCATCATTATCTTTTGCATGCCCTTAACAATGGGACAAAATACAATATCAAATTTATATTGTAAGTGGCAGCAATTTACGCTCTTCAACCATGTGATTAATATTTGATTTGTGTATATATAAGGGGCTATCAAAGTTGGTCTCATGATTGTTGATTAACTGGGTAAGTGATGTATCCATAAAGTCATGAAACATTGTCAATTTGTCTTAATCATTTTCTTTTACACCATTTGTACACCGGTTAACTTTGTATATTCTTATAACCCTGAAAAGGGTTAACAAAGTTCATTAAAATGTTTTAGAAGCTCATTTGCTCGATCACAATTCCAACCATTAAATTGTAGAACCTTTTCCACTGCTTTAACGTAAATCTTTAGGTAAGAAATACCTATTCGTCGAACCTCACTGAACATCTCTTGAAATGCAACATGATCAAATAGATCCCAATCTCGTGAGTATTTGCAGAACCAAAAAGCCATATCACCACAATACATCATGGCGAGCATATGATTATCACTGAGAACTCCCATGTCAATTAGATCAAATGTGTTGACAGAATTTCCATCGGTCATTGTTTTATCTCCATTATCATCATCATTTGATCCTCGAGGTGAAAATGGATTAACGCTTGTCTTTTGATTTAATTCATCTTGTTGTTCTTTTAATTGTTTAAGACAATTCTCAATTTGTCCTTTCTTCTCTACATTGGCTTCTTGTTGTTCTTTCACTTTCTCCTGATTAGCATCAATCTCGTCCAAAGCTCGTTCCAGGTCAGATCTTAGTTCAGGAGTATTTGACATTTTCTGTAAAATTTCCCGTCTGGTTTCTATGTTGACAAGCTGAAATTGAAAAAGGAGAAGAGAAAAATTGAATTATTGATGATATTTTAAAGTAAATGGAACAATTTTTGAAAGAAATAAACAATTACCTCTTGTTGATCTAATACTTGTTGAAGTTGATCCAATTCTGCTCCTAAAGCTCCAACAATTTTCTGCTTTTGTATCAATAAATTACTCAATTCATTCATATTACTTGGATTTAAATCTTTCGCACTAACATAAGCAATGTTATCATCTTGAAATGGATGTGATCGGTTATCATTGGCAAATGAAGCTGGATGGTTAAGGTAGGGTTGACGGAGATCACTTATATATCTGGCATCGATTTCATCCAAATTAGATAGGATTAAATTACGACGAATGCTTAACATTAAGTGAAAATAATTGATCCCATCTTTAAGATGATTTAATAGAGTCATTTGATGATTGTTAACCCATGTTGGATCTGAAGTAAGTTTGGCAGAGCAAAAAGCATATAAAAGTGATCCTTGTCTCCATAGGACACATTCACCAAAATCAATTCCTAAAACATTGACAACCGCTTTGTATGGATCACCTAAAGATGTTTTACCCTGGAAAGATGAAGAAACACCACCCACCAAAGAACGACCGAAATCACTACTATCAGAAGATGAGGAAGATGAAGATGATGAATTGGCTGAAGATGGAGAATCAACTGATGCACAAAGAGAAACAATTGCATTGAGAAGGTTTAAAGTGGTCTCAATGTCTTCCTCGGCTGAATCAAGGCAGAAATTGTTCTCTGTTAAATAATTTTCATGAAAGAATGTACAATCAAGGACAGCCTATAAAATAGAATAAAAAACACACACACAATTAGCGAAAAACGAAAGAAAATAAAATAAAAACGGAAGAGAAAAAAAAATGGACACCAAAACAACTACAAACCTTTGAATAGGTTTCAATTAACTCTTTTATTGATGGATCATCTTCAACACACCGAGAAGATGTTGTTACTTTTAAATGTTCAAATTGTTCAACTAATTTGTCCATTGCTGTGGAAATTTAAGATCAATTGTTCACAATTAACATTAAAATAAGAAATAAAATCAATTAGGGAAAAAGAAAACAATTAAATTCTGTTTACTAAAACATAAGACAGATGAGAAGAGATTGAAAAGCAAACAGAAATAGAGAGAAGAAAAAAACTCTCAAAGAAAGAGAATCGGTAGACAGAGGAATAGAAAGAGAATCAAATGTAGACAGAGAACTTGAGATTTTCTTTTGTTCGGTTTTGAATATTTAATCTCCTGTCATCGGAACTCTAATTGTTGTTGATAATTAATGTTCAGTTGAAAGAGAGCGAGAGAGTATTAAGATTGTGGTGATAGTCGAATCAAATTAATCTATCAACTGATTGTGGGAATTTAATAGAATTCAAGTAAAGAGACAATTTGATAATCGGCTAATTGTTGCTTTTGGACAGAAAGAAAATGGAAAGTTACAATTACGATTAAAATTACCGATCTTTAATTCGCGAAAAGACAAATTAAACAACGAGAGTGAAGTGCAATTGATTAATTTTATATGATACAAAAATTTTAATATGTTTTAAAGTCAATACCAATACTATTGTCTTGATTTAATTTTGTTTTTTTCATCTTCTCAACCTTAATTGTTGTAATTTTGTTTTACTGTTTTTTTTGTGTGTGTCTTTCAAATTAAGAAAATCATTTTTTTGGTAAGGGCCGTGGTGGTGGTTTATCGCTTTTTATATTAGACCTAATTGATTGCGGTTCTTCTCGGTTGGTTGGCCCTTGGGATCTCCATACATCTCGAGATGTTTTATATGATTTTGTTTGAGAATCACCATCATCCTTTTCTTTTTGATCTCTGTCTCTATCACCTCTGTCACTTCTCTCGAATCTTCTCTCAGGATCTCTATTATCACGTCCGAAATCTCGCCTTCCTCGGTTTGAATAACCACCATCTCGATTTTCATAATCTTGGTCTTTATCTGTATTACCATGACGGAATCCACCAGGTCGAGGTCGATAAGGTCTATCAATTTGGCTTGAAGGTTCATCGGTGGGTTTGTCCCTCCAGCTACCACCAGAGTCATCATTGTCTCGAGGAGCAGGGCGATTAAAGTCTTTAGAGCTTCGGCCAAAATATTTCGGTCTATCTCGAGATTCACCGTAACCTCCTCGGTCACCTCGGTCCCCACGATCTCCTCCTCGATCTCCTCCTCGATCTCCTCCCCGATCTCCTCTATCGCCTCTATCACCTCTATCGCCCCGGTCAATTCGGTCATCTCTGTCTCCTTTATCACCTCGGTCTCCTTTGTCGGCTCTTTCACGATATGGAATTCGATCTGGAATTCGATCGAGACCTCTATCAGGTCGACGAAGTTCGGGCACTTCAGATCGATCAGCAGTTGCCGCCGATCCTCTCCAGTTATCAATAGCATCACCTTTAGATGGAGGTGGTTTACGTTCAATAGTTTTCTCTTCTTTCGGTGGTTCGTATTTAACTCGAGCTGCTTCCGCTTCTCGAGCCATTTTTTCTTCAATTTCTTTCTCTTTGGCGGCCTTCTTTTTAGCCATTTCTTCGAATTTCTTCTCCGCTTCTCTATTTTCTTCTTCCTTTCTTTTACGCTCTTCTTCTTTACGTTTCCTTTCTTCTTCTGCTTTGCGTTTCTCTTCGGCTTCTCTTCGTGCTCGATAAAAGGCTTCTCGACGATCCTTTTTACGTTGAACTTTCCTTTCAACCATTCGTATCTCTTTCGCTTCATCGAAAGCTTTTTTCCATTCAGCATATTGTTCAACATAAAGTTTATGACGACGCTCTTTGATTAAATTAATATATTCATCACGATCAGCTCGCATTCTATTCAATCTTTCTTTGTGTTGAATTGCTTGTTCTCTTTCGGCATGTAAAGCAGCAATTCTTTCATTTTCCATCTCAATCCATTCCTCTTCATCACGTTTACGCCATTCTTCATAGGCTTCCAATAGAAGAGGAATTTCTTCTTGACGTTTAGCTCGTTCAAAGTGATCAATTTTCCTTTCATGATTTCGTTGTCGAGTTATCTGGTCAATTCTTTCCTTCTCTAATTGTTTCATTTGTCGAGATTTAATGTCTTCAATCTTTAATTTACCCAATTCATCGTCATTTAAACCTTCAAGAAGCTTGGGATCGGTTGTTTTCATTCGTTCCAATTGATCGAGGGCCATTCGCTTCTTCAATTCAAGATCTTCTTTAAGTTTCATTTGCCGTTGTCTCTCTTCGGCTTCCTTGGCTAATCTTTCTTCTTCGGCCAATCGTAGTTCACGTTGTTTACCTTCCAAGATTTCTTTCTCCTTTTTCTCTCTTTCCATTCCAATTTGCTCTAATTCAACCTTTCTCCTTTCAATGTAATCATGTCTTTCCAAAATTGCTTTATGATCAGCCTTCTTGTTTGATTCATAATTGGCCATCATTCGCCTCTTAACGTCATTCTTGTGAACCTTAATCTTTTCAGGTTCCACCATGGCTCTTGCTTTTTGTAAAACTGAATACATGGTAACGAGTTGCTGTCTAATCTGTTCACTTGGCATACTTTGTAAATGAGGACCTTCAATTATCTCCTCACCATGGGAAGCTCTTAACTCGGTTCCAAAATAGAAACATCTACCTCGATGATCAATACGAACTTGAAGATCATTACGACGAGCAGCTGAAACAATCATGTGTTCCAAATGAATTTTATCAATAACAGGACACAATTCAATTAGACGAGAGTATTCAATACTTTCATAGACTTGACTTATTTCTTTTAAAAGACGAATAAGTGTAACATCCTTAAGGGCAGTTGTATATTGACTGAGATCACCACTAATTTCACATGTTTCGATGAAATCAATACATTCACCAACTCTTTTAGATAAAAGTAATGGATGAAATTCAACTTCCAACCAATGGTAAAGGCTTTGAAGAGTTGGAAACGCATGTTGTAATACTCCCATTCTTTTAAGATCTTTAATTAGAGTAGATCGAGTTGGTGCCGAAGTTAAACCTAAAAGTGATGCTAGGTTTCTTTGATGATTTTCGATAACATTTTCTTCAGTGTCAACAAGCTTATCAATTTCGGGTCGAGTTGGAGGAATTGGTATGGAAAGAGTAGCACAAACAACACGAGAAGCCATTTTTTGAACATCTTCCGGTGTAATGTTTTTCCGAAGTTCTTTAGTTAAAGTGAACAGTTTAAAAAGAGCAGCGGCATGGAAAAGAGGACAATTGGCTTTCCAGAAGACAAGGGACAATTTAGTATAATAATTAGACATTAATTGAGGTTTAGGAAGTTTCTTGGATAAATTCATCAATCCAAATTTCTTAATATCATCTGTTGCTCTATATGCTTCTTGCCAAAGCTCCATTTGAATGGCTGAATCAAGTTGAACAAGGCGTGTTTCCAAGTGCATTGCTTGGCTATCAGGATTGTTAAGATTGATAAAATTTTGTTGCTGATGGGTAACTTGATTAGTGTTGATCAATTGTTGCTGCTTCTTCAATAGATCAAGGTGAAGATGTAAATTTTCACTTAATTTACGAAATTCGGCTTTACGATTATACTTGATACAAAATTGGAAAGCTTTATGAGCTATATCATGATATAATCTTTCAGTCCTTGGATTGTTTCTCAATATGTCTAAACAGTGTCGATAAGATTCCCATAAAAATCTTACCCATGGAAGTAGAATAACACGATCAGTTCTATCTTGATTATCTTCAGAACTAACAGTTCCCATAAGAAGAGATTCCGGTGTTTGTAGATCATCCAAATCATCAACATCATCAACACCAGAGGCATGTGATTTCTCCCGAGCCGATTCAGCTTCACTTTCAGCCATTTGTAAATATTTTCTCACCGTATCTTCAAACGATTTAATGTAAGCCTGTTGACAGATAATCTTATACTGATAGATACCCTCCTTGGCGACAAAGCTCATACGAAGTTCAACACAAAGTTCCAAATATTTCATCATAATATCCTCATGTTCCTTTTTCCAGGCTCGATGTTTACGTGAACGTAAAACATCACAAAGAATCTCCAATGCACGTGGCTTTTTACCAACATCGATAAACTCTACAATAAGAACACAAACACACAAACAACAGAAAAAGATAGAAAACCACACACAAAACACACACAGAGAGAAATAGAAAAATCCATTAGCAAAAGAGAAAAATTGAAAAATATCACAGAGAGAAAACGAAAGAAAATTACTTACCATTAGCCCGTTTAAGGGCATTTTCGAGTCGCTGAAAGTAAACAGGCATCTTAATTAAACACAATTACTAATAATTAATTTTCTAATACCAAATTAACGTATGTTTTTAATTTTCTTAAAGATAATCAAAAAAAAACAACACAACAAAGAGACGAGAAGATTTTCCGTTTCCGGGACGTAACCATGGAAACGCCGAAGCTCCCCCTGGATAAATGGAAGCTAATTCTTGTTCACGTGACCCAATCATCATCTTTACTTTCAAGTCTATAGTCAGAAATGGAGAAAAATAATTAAATTTAATTCAATTGTTTTCACTGATTTACCATCAACTTTAATTAACCAGTCATCATACGAAGATTGACTTGGTTATTCTATCGCCTGTTAATTGGTAAGTTGCAACAATTTAATTCCAATCGTTGTTCTTTTCTCCCTTTATTGTGTCTCCATACTATCAATTCTCTTCTACTACCTCTTTTTTTTTCCATTCCTATGTTGTCTTTCTCTCTCTCTCTCTTTCTCTTTCTCTTTCTTTCTTTTTCATTCATATTCTTCCTTCTTTTTTTTTAATAATCCTTTTTTTCTTCTCTTCTTCTTTCTCTCTTACTTGTGTGTGTGTCTGTGTGTTTCCTTTGACTACATTTTGTTTCACTTTTTCTTCTATTTTGTTTTTGTTTGTGTCTCTATTTTCACTTGTGTTGATATTTAATTTATTCTTTTGCTTTTTTCCCTCGCCTTCTCTTTCTCTCTCTCTCTCTCTCTTTTTATACTTTTCACTTTCTCTGTCTGTTACTCTCTCTTTTTTTCCCTATCTCTTTCTATTTCTCTTGGTCTCTCTTTCTCTTTTTTTTTCTCTATGTGTGTGTGTCTCTCTTTTTTTTTGCTGATTTTCTATTCTCTTTTCTTTCATTTTTTCTTTAAATCAAATCTTCTCCTGACCAGTTGTGTGTTTTTCCAATAAAAACTACAATGTCTGGATATGATTCATTGAGGAGTCGTACACCAAAGGAGACACTTTTAGAAGGCTTTGTTAAGCGTATGAAGAAATCAAATGAAGAAGGTAGATACAAAGGAACCCGAATTGACCATGCAAATTTTATTTCCAATGATTCTCAAGAACCGTCCGGAGAGGATATGTGTGGTGAAATGGTGGATAAAATGGTTACCAAGATACAATTGGCTCCAGTTAATCCATTAAATAAACTCTATTGTAGTTTAATGAGTGGTCTTAGCAATGAGATTGACTTTGGTCTTCGTATATCAACAGTTCTAGCCAATTCCAAGGAATCTTCATGGATATCAGATTTCAAATTTATTGATATTCTAATTGACAGTGTTGAACCATATTCATGTTGCTGTGATGAAGAAAATAGTGATTTGGTTAAACAAATTGATAATGGTAGAGTTTTCTGCAATATCCGTGTCAAAGATGATCTAAATAATCAATCTAAACCATGTACCTGTTTACAAAGATTTTGGTCTGGATTATTTATGGATAAAAGAGTAATGAATCTAGTTTATGGTTCATCTTCATCAAATGATTTAGATGAAAATGGTGATTCTTACATGAAATCCACAATGGATGATGATGATGTTTCTTATGATTCGGATGATGAAAATCTTTCTAATTTTATGGACACCAAAAAGCATGAACCTAAAAATCACCAGCGAATCTACAATCTAATTAAAAAGGTAACCGAGATAATTAGAAATTTATCATTTAACATCTCGGAATCTTCTATACCAAATGTTAGTGATGAATCAAGCGCCAGTGGTTATTCATATAACTTTGCGACAATCAATCTCTTGAAATTCCTAGTTCTGTTAATTTCCTGTAAAGATCAATATTATCAAAATCTTGGTTTGGATATAATCTCCAATATTTCATCACATGTCGCCATTAACAGCGTTAACTCGCAATATTTAACATTTTTAGATTTAATTAATAGATATTGTATCAATGCAATACTATCTTCAAATGACATCCATCAAATTAACCGAAGCCTGGAAATAATTTGTAAAATTATTTCAAGATACAACAATGATCCCAGCGAATATATAGCAATTCAGCTATTGGATCAAGAAGTAATTAACCTTTTTACCTTTAATTCCAATAATTATAGTTGATGATTGTGCATATTAACTAATCCTTTTCTCTTTTTTTTTCTCTTCTTATCTTGACAATTATTTTCTTTGTATCTTTCAGCTTCTCCAAAGATTAACGGAATTATTAACCTGTCAACATGATGTGAGCATAGTGATCTCATCTCTTGAATTACTTTTCGCTCTCTCAGAATCATATCCTAAACTTTTAGCCGAAGAAAGCAAATATCTCATAAGTAAGTTACCTTTTTCCCGCACTCTCATCCAATCGAAAAACTAAATGTCTCACTTATTTACTCACTCAGTTTCACTCTTTTTCCCTCCCTCTTTATTGCTCACTACAATTCTTATAATGTTGTTTTACTTTCTTTCTATTTTCTATCTTTAGAAATACTTGTAATGCTCCTCAACTGTGAGGCTTCTTCATTTTTCACTAAGAGTGCGCTTTCAAGGATTAAAATTATAGATGAAAGGCCTAAACCAATTGAATTAAGTAACAAAACACCTAATCAAAAAACGACCACAACTACAACCTTTGTTACACCAACAACAACAGACAATGAAAGTTACGCTGTCGCTTGGCTTCGATCATGTTTCGAAGCTAAACCCAATCCTGGTACACTTTTAAGGCTTAATGAAATATACGAAGATTATGTCAAAGAATGTATCCGTTGTGATCGTAAAAATGTTATCTCTGCTCATAATTTTGCGATTCTAACCAAAAGATGTTTCCCCTCAATCACCATGACCGGTCCAATAATTGACGGACTAATTCGTCGAACTGTTACAATAACCACTTCCACCAAAGGTCCTGGTGGATTATCATCTCCCATTCTTAAAGCTCAGCTATGTGCTCCTCCCAAAGCGGGCTCCCTTTCTCCTGGTCCAGGTGGTGTATCCACTCCTCCCAATACAACATCTACTTTAATTAAAAATCTATTGGCAAATAAACTGAGAACCAATAATAATAGCCAAGGAACATCACCTTGTACAACAACCATTTCATCATTTTCCTCTATTACCACCGGATCTGTTACGGTAACTCCAGCTTCTGCTTCATCTCCTAGTTCATCAAATAAAGACAATGGAAATTGTAGTAAATCTGATACCACCACAACAATCATTCCTTGTACCATTAACAATCTCAACAGTACCTTTACTCAACCCCAGAAGCCACAAGAACCTTATCCTGATCCAGCTGATTTAACGCCCAGTGCCAATAAAACAGCTTTCTCCAATTCATCACAGTCTAATAAGTCAAAAGATTCAAACTCTCACAGTAATACTACACCAACAACGGTCATTACTTCTAATACACCATCACATTCATCAACATCTTCAACCTCATCAACTTCAACATTAACATTAACATCATCCTCATCATCTTCATCTACTTCATCATCAACACCTTTGAATAACATTTTCGTTACCAGCACAAGTAATAACAACTCATCTTTATCAACAAGTGTCACCATAACACCAGCAATCGCAAATACAACACCTTTAATACCAGCAGTGTCAAGTGGAGGATCAGTTAATACTCAACAAGTAATTGTTACAGCTAATCCAACATCAACTGCAAACATTTTACAACCTCAAACAACCTGTATCACAACTGGTCAAGCTTTACAAGGTGGATCTGTTTTATTCACTACACCAGGTCAACCTGGTCAATCCCTCCAACCAAATCAACCTCAACAATTTTTATTAGTACGAACCATAGTTGGTAATCAACAGCAAACCGGCCTGGTTGGTATGCCTGCAGGAGTAGCTTCTGGTACACCGGTGCGATTAATTTTACCACCAGGATTTCTTACCCAGCAACGACCAATTCAACAGGCCAACGGTGTTGCCCCAGTTGCGATAACAAGTTCAAATGATTCATTAACTCGTAACGCAATTCAAACTGTCTTGACTAACTCAAACAAATTACCGATAACCGTTAGCACATCGCAAACTTTTGTAACCAGTCAACCGATAACATCCTTAGCCAATGTTACAACCGCTTCTTCATCAACATCTCAGACAGCAAATTCTAATTCAAATGATATTCTACTGAAAGCTGTTTTAGGAAGTGGAATTGTCAGTGAAAATCCATCAACACCAACCAATTCGAACACTATTCCCAATAGATCTAATACAGTTAAATCATCGCCTTTGCTTAATGTTCTTCTCGATAAAGGAAAACTTCCTGATTTCTCTGCCATGGCAGGAACTATAAATCAGTCTAATGTAACAAATTCATGTGTAACAACCATCACCTCTGTGACCACCTCATCATCATCAACCACCCCCTTTAACAATCCACCGATATTAAATACTGTATCATCAGCATCAACTCCCATCACAAATATGTCACCATCACAATCTAATAAGGTGTACATATTGACCACAAAATCATCTTTACCAATCAAAAATGTGTCCAATGTTCAACAACAACAACAACAGTTAGGAGGGCAGATAAACTCAACTACTGTCGCAACAAATAATCTCCAAAAGTCCATCACAGTACAACAATTAAATCCAACATTAACAGTGCAACAACAATTAGCTACTAATGTAATTCAACAACCGCCAACAACAACCCAACAATCAGCCATAAATAGTTCTGAAACCACATTAAACAGCTCAACATTAGTATCTGTTTCAACGCCAACGTTAAATAAACTAGTGTCTTCAACAACAGATTCATCAACTTCTATACAAAAAACTTCAATATCCTCTACAACAGTTAAACCTATTCAAATTGACACATTGGAATCTAAATCAACTTTAATCAATATAAAAACTGAACTAAGTAATGGTGAAATAACCTCAAATTTGGTACAAGAAATTGGTAAATCAACTATCAAACCACCAAATGAAATAATATCAGTTAATGAGTTGAATAAATCAATTGAAAGTAGTGCAAGTAAATTGATCTCAAAAAGATCTAATGAAGAAGAAGATGGTAAACCTGAAGCCAATAAGAAAATGAAATCCAATAACTCCATAAATTCAATTAGCATAACGCCTTTAAAGAAGGAAATTACAGTTGAATCACAGCAATTAACTAATAAAATCAAAACAAATGGTACAAGTGTAATTACCTCATCTAATGGTCAACAAGGAAAAGAGTTAACATCTTCATCTTCACAACAAAACAAATCCATGACAGATTCAGCAACAAACACATCACCCCCTGGTCCCGTCAATGGAACTCCAAACACCAATGCCTCTAATACTGCTCAAACTGCAACTGTTAAATCAAAGCCAGCAATCAAATCCACCTCAGTCAATCTTAAAAATTTACAATTTCATTGTGAATGGCACGAGTGTAAAAAGTAAGTGTATCTCAACAATTAATCACTTTGCACATGACTGTTGCTCAATCAAAGATTTAATGTTTATTTCTTTAATTGTTTTCCTTTCTTTCCAGAGTTTTCAATCGTCCATCTCAAGTTTATTGGCATGTTCATAAAGAACATGTCAATATCTACGGAAATACCTCTGAAAAAATGACCTGTAAATGGGGTGGCCTAGAGGGAAGAGGACCTGGTTGTTTAGCATCTAGACCAAAATTATCTTTATTAACTCATATTAATGTGAGTTGATTTGTTTTTCTGTTGATCATCATTGATTATCAAACTATGAAACTGTTTTAATTGAGAGTATTTTTTTTGTTATTGCAGGATTTTCATTGTAATGCTGCTGCCTTACAGCAATCGGCTATACGACGTGAGTCTGGAGTTAATGTACCACCACCAATTGTGCCACCCGCTCATCCAGGTTACTCTTCTAACGCTGCCCTTTTAGCCATCCGAAGGCATGCCATTAATTATGTGGTAAGCATGAATAAAGATAAATTAACAAACTGTTATTTAATAGTTTCCATTATTATTAATCACTAATTATCTTTTTCTCTTTTGTCTTAACAGGAACTTCCCAAGCCCCCGCCAATTACACCTTTAACTCCAATAACAACTAGCATACGTTTAACAGCAGCTTTAATCTTGAGAAATTTGGCTCAAGTTTCATCCAAGCTTAGATCGTAAGTATTTATCTTCTATCTTCATGTAAATTAACCTCACCAATATAAATTAATCTTTTTTCCAAATCTTATTTATCTCCTTTTTTCCCATAGATTTTTACAAAGTCTCGAACCCTATTTAAGTGAACTTTGCATAGTCGAAGGACGAGAAGAGTCAAGAACCATCGCACAGTGTTTAGGTGTAATAACGGAAAGAAATGAAAGAAAAAAAGCTGAATAGATTCATTTATGAAGAAAAATCTAATTCAAAAAAGTCTAGATCATCATAAGAAAGAAAGCGTGTTGATAACCAGAGGAACCACCAAAATCTCCGCCACTAAAGTATCAATTACTCAAGCGAAACAATAAATAAACAAGAGGATCTGATTGAACAATTAAAACAAAATAATACCATCAACTAAACTGGATTAAAATTAAAGTTGCCTGTTGAAATGATTTCAAAAACCAAATTAACTTCTATCAATACTCCTCCGATCACCTTTTCCCATGGTTTCTGGTTAACCCTCTGAAGTGGATTAGTTCATGTTTAAAAGCAAATTGCAACAAAAAATTATAGCCTGATAGTTGTATAAATTTATATCGCTGAATGTTCAAGGTTATTTATATTTATGTTATATTGAGCATTTATTGAATGCATTTCTCTCCCTTTCTCTTTCTCTCTCTCTCTTTCTTTATATCATTTTTTTCCGGTAAACTTAAAAAAAATCATCATCAATGTGAATCTTAAGTGTATTTTTTGGAGAGGTCATTTTTTTGTTTGTCAATAGCAAAACTTTGCCTTGAGGAAAAAAAAACAATAAGATGTTAATTGTATCAAAGGAAATTTAAATCTCCAGGGAACAAGTCAACGATGAGTTGATAGATTTAATTTTTTGCACGTTAAATTGTCAACAGATAAACAACCAAACCACATTACACACACAAGAATAATTAAGGATCAATTAAAGCAAAGGAACACCACAAGATTGATTGAGGAGATGAAACAAAAAACAATTGTGTATAAAAAATTTCTATTATCTCATTTTTCTCCCTCTCATCCCTATCCAACTCTCTCAAGTTAACTCTCCTTATAATCCCATCCCCGCCTTTATTTTCACACCTTTTCTCCCTCTTCCCCTCTCTCTCTTTCTCATCCTCTCCTTGTCTCTCTCTCATTCTCACCCATTTTTATTTAACTTTGCTTTTCGTGATCAGCGCTTTTTTTATTGCATTTGAATAAATTTATTGTACACCCATACACAGTAAGAGTATCCAAATTAATTGACAATTAATTGCAAATTATAACTTTTGTTTTCTGAAAAAAAGTCTTTATTGAAAATTGATTCAATAACATGAAAGGTTTCACATTTAGTTGGTAAATTAAATTATTACAATATTTGATTCGGGCAAAGTTTTACAAACTATTATTTTTTTTTCTTGTTTTCTGTTTGTTTTGTTTTTATCATTTCCTAATTAACTTTCGACTTGTATAATTAGGAGTTTGCATTAATTACTTTACACTATTATTTCCAGGCAGCATTGAGCGTTTTCCTTGATGCCAGATATTTAGTTGCAATAGAAAATAACAAAAGAGCAGTAAGAACAATAATTATTAAAAGATTATCAAAATCGTCTTTAAGTATGTCGAAAGTTTTAGAAGGGGTAACTCGAGTATAGTAAATGTCCAGACCAGTGATAAAAAGAAGTGATGTAGATTCAAGGGAAGATGAACCAACATAAATTCGGTTAACATCGACTACCGATTGATTGTAGTTAATTATTCCTTCCGAGGGAATCGGTAATTCAGGTATGTAGGGTGGTAGGTAGACACCACCTTCCTCCATGGCTGCAGCCGAAGATGCATACTTTGAATTGGCGAATGAAGCTCGACGAGGATCGAGGAAAATTTTGGGTAAAGATAATATACCACCGGAGGTTAGAGCAATTAGAATATGCTTATTGGTAATACCGCGAATTGTTTGAGTCTCCCTCATGGCTCGTATTCCAGTGGGGAAAATAAAGGAAAGATGTTCAATAATTTTGGGCGGTGTTCGCACCGGTGGCGGTGGTGGCATTTCTTTACCCTCGAAAAGTTCCAATGAGCTAATTTCAATTCGACGTTGTTTCTCATTGTAAAATGAGTAGATGATAAAATTTTCAGAGTGAACAAGATGAACTGGATCGGAAGCTCGTCGATGAACAACCGAATAGTAAATAGAACCGGTAACAGCATCGAGAAGATAAAATTGAACCACATTGATTCGGCCTGAATCTTCATCGGAACTTTCCTCACCTCGGTTAACCAATGCAACCAAATTTGGATTAAGATACTTGTAAAGAACAGCTCGATCGGCCAGAACTTTACCCTGAGAGTGAACATGTTCATCAACCTCTTTCCATCGAACCTGAAGACACGATCCAGTTAAAGAGGGTAAATTTAAACTCCACACTTTAAGGGCAATATCGCCCTCTCCCTTGGGTACACCTGATTCAAGGTGTCTCAGTGAATAACCTGATACTTTTTCACTTGTCTGTTTGGAAACCATCATGTAGTAATTATCTTTATGCAATAAAAAGGTATCTCGAGTTGATTCTGGATAAAAGGAAACTTTATCTTCTTCATTCATCAAAATTAATCCTTTAACCCCTTCATCATCTGAATGGTGCATTAACATTGACAATTTAATTCGCATCTTATAATCTTTAACCTCTTCAACACGACCTTCCAATGGATTGTAGGAGATGATATAACCCATAGGTGAGACAATGGACACTCGAGGTGAGAATAAATTGTTTCGTTGAAGGTGAACCGATAGAACTGGTAGTTTATCACATTTTCTTCCACTTTCCATTTCAATTGAATCGATTAGTCTACTTTCTTGGATAATATCATCTTTTAATCGAGCATCATAATGGGACCAGATTATTTTACCCTTTCGAACATTGTCCAGGACAAATAGTTTTCCTCTTTGAGTAACAATGAATAGTAATTTATGGAAACCAAATACATCAGAGACTAGTGATTTCTCCTTGAATCATCTTTAATTGAAGCTAATCTTGTTGCTTCAGAGGTGAATAAAGTTCCATATGATGAGATGATGTATTCTTGGATGGATGATATTTGTGAGTAAAGACGGTTAATGAAAGATGAAAGAAATAGGAAATCATTTGGTAATCCAAAATTATCATTTTGACTGGTTGTTGATGACGATGAAAAATAAGGTAGCGAAATAAATTGTGACCAAATGATTGAAGATAAACTTTCCTCTCGAGACCAATTAGATATTCCTTGTAATTGTAGGAAACGATTCGTTGATCATCAAAAGTTACAATAAATTCAATTTGTGAACCAAATTTAACACATGAGAATCTGTGAACACCATTAGCATGAGAATTAGTTTCAATTGAAGTGAAGAATAATTTTTCCAATTTCCAATCAGAGCCAATTTTGTAAACTTCGATTCCATCATTTACCGGTGATATACCGAAAAATTGTTCACCATTAGATTCACCAGAATTAGATGATATTGTCAATCTTTGTAATTTAGGAAATACTGTTTGTAATTTCAATCCATCGCCATTAGTGTTCAATTTGTAAAGGTAATAGTTTTCCAATTGACCATCGGCTCGAAGTGATCTAAGTCCGAAATGTCCTAAATCGATTCCATTTTGATCAGAAATTTTATCAAGAATATATCTTCCACCATTGGTTAAGGCTTTAGGAAGAGGTTGATTGGACCATTTTGATTCACCCAATTTATTATGATGAATTGAAGTTGTTGTTAAGCAAATGATGTTATTGTAACCAACAATTAAACAATCATTTTCTAAATTAACATTAACCAGATTATCTTCAAGAGATGAATGTTCACTTTCAATTGGTTTAGAAGCAGAATCATCTTTAGTTAATAAAAATTGGAATGATTTAAGTTGATTAACTGATTGACCACATACAATTGTAATCAAGCTTTTAACTGGATCAATGGAAGCCAAACAATTACCATCACCTTGAAGGAAATGATTCCTTTCCACAATTAAATAGCCAAAATCATCTTGTGACCATTTACGAAGGAAAATTTTACTCTCATTTTTAGTTTTATACAAACTAATTGTAATTAAACCATCACCCGTTGAACCAAGAGCACTACCAATGGTTTTCCCTTGTTCCTCTTGGACATTTCTCCAGGCAATCTCACCTTTCCTTGTAATTGCCGAGACAACATTTGTCTCACCGGTTACACAGAAGATTAATTCTTTACTTTCACTATTTGATCTAAGACAATTATCAACATCTATACCAATAAATCGTTGTCTCCAATCCCATTTGTAAATTTGATCCTCATATAAACCATGACTAAGATTAAACCATGAGAATAGAAAACCAATCAATAAAATCGGTAAAACCATGAATCGTATCATCTTTTTCCAACCAAAGATCCACACACAAAGAGAAACAGAGAAAACAAATTAATCTATCATTGAGACAAGAAGAATCACAAAAGGGAAAAAGGTAAAACAATTAATAATTTTACACAATTGCAATCAGTTAATTAGAAGGAGAGAGAGAGAGAAGAAAAAAATAAATTAAT